GCTTAAAGCTCCTCTGCCATTTTAAATGATAATTTTACGAAGTATAAGTTCTGTGTGGGGCATCTCGAAGGGTTCAACTTTTTAATCCTTTAATTAAGCTTATCTGTCATAAATTTGTTACTCTTTAAACTATCTATTTCTGCATAAAAAGGCACTGTGCATCCATCAGTACAACTAATAATAGATAAATAAATAAATTAATTAATGAAATAATTACGAGCAAGCGCAAGAGAATGTGATAAGCTATCCGCGAGTTCAATGCAACCTTAAAGGAATTAGGTCATAGATTTTAAACATAAGAAAATGGACACCAAATTGAAGAAACATCAAGACCACAGCAACTACAAAAGAAGAGTAGTATTGGGCGCACCTATACGGACTAACCAATCACATTGGTCCAGAGGTTTCCATTGGCTTAGCCATCATGGTGTTTGAACCATTATAACATGGCACGCGCCCTAGTCCTACCTAATTTCTATTGAGCCATCACGAACGAAATCTCTACGGACGCAGGGCCCCGCGTTTATAACATGACTTGTGCAGTTTCAATATAGCTGTAAAATGTCCGTCGAGTTTAGTGCAAGATCCTTTTTTTTTTAAGTTTCGGCAATGTGAAGATTATTCTGAACGATCCAAACCCCTGCCTCGAGCCTTTGACTTTTGCCAAGCTAAGATATTCACCTAAACTTGAGTATTTTGACTTTGTTTGTCTATGTTTTCATTGAGTATTTTTTACTTTGCTTGCCTACAATTTCATCATAGTTAATTCGAAGGAGCGACAATTTGACAATTTTAGAAACCAGGTTAAGCGGTTTCGTTCAACTGTTGCTTAACTGATCGCGGCATATTAGAATCCTAATGACGTTTGTTTTCCTTCACCTTGCATTGTGAGACCTATGTAGTCAATCTCAAAGAAAACATGTTTTAACGCCCAAGTTGTTGTCGCCATGTTATAAAAGACCTGGTTCACGCTTTTAGCTGTGCGTATGTCGAGTTATGGATGCACGTGGGAAGTTTGTAGGCACTGAAGGAGCTAGAGTTGCTCTGGGCTATC